GTCATTAGAGACCAAGGGCTTCGTCGGCTTCTGAACCATTCCGTTAGACTGCTGGTGTCGTAGGTTGAACTGGCACGTGTCGACCTTCACCTCTTTCACACGGGGGTGCTCCTTTAAACGCTTGATCTGGGACTGCTTGAATACCTCCGACGTCGAGGGATTCTCGAAGAGGATGTCTCGCTTGCTGTTCAGCCGCATCATACCGATCTCCTCCACGAAGTCTAGTAGGGGACGATCTCGAAGACGCTGGCGACGTAGTTGTTGTTGTTTAGCTTCGCCTCGATAGTTCACCCTGGTAAGTTGTGTCCAGAGTGTGCAGGGGTACCCCAACGTGAGGAGCTTATGCCTGCACGTGCGGTAGAGCTGTATAATCTCTCGCCGATCTTGGGCGCCCCGCAGGTTGTAGTTGTAGATCGGATCAATGGGCTCGCACACCTTGAGTCCGGCTCGATTGAACTCTTCTGACATGACGGCCTCACCTGCGAAGATCTGCATCAAGTCGTAGTTCGGGTCGGTCTTGACGTTGAACACGTCGCAGAGATCTTGCGCGATAGCCTTGCCTGCCGAGGAGCGCGGCTTCGCCAGAAAGATGTCGGGGAACGTGGCCTGCCACGTCAGGAAGCTGACAGTAGTCTTGATCATGTCCTTGTAGCGCTTGATCTGTCCCGGCTTCATCTTGCGCTTTTCTCTTACTGTTTCCTGGTCTTCCCCTTCGGAATTATCATCTCCCAAGTCTGGTCCTCCTCTACGCCGATGTCTTCTGCTGCAATAGCCATGTCGCTGATCGATGAGCTCCTTCTCCTGGTTGGTGGTTCGGCGCTGTCTGAGTCTTCCGAGGGCTGTGGTCCCATTGGTCTTGCTCGTTGCTCCCTTCCTGAGCTCCGACAGGCCAAGGAGGCACTCCTGGTCGCTGAAGCAACCTTCGAAGTCGTAAGCAGCGGTGCCTCGTCCTTGGTCTCTTCCTTCTTGACTGCTTCCGGCGTCTGTCCCAGCAACAAACGCGCGATTTTGTCCCTGAGCATGTCGCCGGTAACTTTCACGTTGCGTTTCCTGGCCAGCTGGACCAACTCTGCTCGTGACTTCTTGGCAAGTCCTCGGAGTTCTGGATCTGCAGCTCGAGCTCCTCTGCGGCTCTGGCCGTTGACGATCCGTTGCTCGCTGAGGATTACGCGCATCTCTCTGCAGCCCAGGCCTTGGAACTCCAGCCCGTTGCTCTCCATCTCCTCCTGTAACTCCACCTTGACCATAGTCCCCAGTGGTAGTAGTCGTCTGGGTGCTGGTGCCTCGGCCTGCCTCTCGAGGATCTCCTCCTGGCCGTGGCGGCGCCCGTTGTGGAAGATGATGGCCACCGCCGGGTGCCTGGTCATCGTGATGGCTAAGAACACCAGCTTGAACATCTGCTTCCAGCGCATCAGCGCTACGGTGTTGTACTTCTTGTTGGTGCTGACATCGAGGATGTCCCAACCCTGGATCCATCCCAGCACGCTGAGAGGCATCCGCACATGAATGAGGACATTGATCTTGAGAATCACCTGAAACAGTTTGAACCAGGTTTGGCTGAGGCCGGACTGTTTCATCATCGTCCGTTATGTGGAATCGCACACATTTTGCTGGTGCTGGTGCTTGCTGCTTTTGCATAGGTTTCTGTACATCGGCACGCTTATCCGTTTCCCGAAACTGGTCCGTACAGGGTTCTCGTTGGGGTGCTCCTGAGGCTTTCTGAAGTTTAGTTCGCAGTGATTCGGATTGCTCTCGCAGTCGTTGAAGTTTAGCTCGTACTGATTCGGATCCCTCATGATGTCGAAGCTTGGCTCCGCGTGATTCGGGTCGCTCTTGATGTGGTTGACGCGGGGCCCCTTGGGATCCCGTTGGAGGCCCACTAGGAATACCTCGTACGCGCCTCCTCGTGTTCGGCTGGGACTAGGTCTCTCCTTCAGAATGGCGCGCCCCCACTGAGTGGCGAAGGGCTCGGTGTTACTTGGGCGTTCCCCGAAGAGGTCGCCTCGCGCTGTGGGGATGCCAGCGCGTTCATTCAGGATTTTGAGGATTCGGTTCGGGCTGGGTTTCGGCCAGCCAACATTTCCCCAGGCAAGGCTTGCAGCAGGGGGGCGAGGACCATTCCTGCAGGCGCGATTGGGAATCCCTCGCGGAGGCCCCGAAGCACGGCGCGAGTCTCGCGCCGATTTTTTTGCCATCGCTGTCGGTGGCACTTGGCCTCGCTCACGGGCCAAGAAGGAAACGGCCGCTGCCGTGGATGATGTTGCCAGAGGTATGGCGAAGGTCTTGAGACGCAACTGTGCCGCTGCTGGCTATGCCCGTGCAGTGCAGGCAATACCGTTCATATGTTGGTCGGACCATTTGGTTCCCAGTGCTGTTTCGGGTCAGGACTCGGAGTCCTGCTTCTTGTTCCGCGGGGTCGCACCAGCCCCCTGGACCAAGGTTCCGCTCCTCCGTTTTTCAGGTGACGACTGGAAGTTTTATCACGAGAGTGGGTGGTTTCCTCGCGCTGCTGGGTTACGTAACGGATCCGCTGAAGACCTTCTAGTGGTTTTCGGAGACGCGAGCGGAGGCGGAGATAGTTTTGATCCCCGTCGCCGTCGATCCGAAGGTTTCTGCCGCTGCTTTCGGACGGCTTTCTGGAGCCGTGCAGACGGTGCCGCGCGGGGGGCTCTGGGGCTCTTGCTCTCCATCACTCCGCCCGGGCCTCGTCCTGCGAGCTCAAATCAGGATCGCCAGCCTCCTCCTCCCTCCCCTTGCATGGGTTCGGGTTTCGAGTCTGCACGCGTTCTCGACGAGACGTCCAGGCGATGCCTTCGATGTTGCACTTGTGCTTCGGCCGACGCTGCCACACTGTGGCGCAGGAGGTCCTGCGCCCCGCCCGTCTCTGTTGATTCTGTTTGTGCCGATGGGGGCAACAAGTGCAGATTGTGTGTGGGGGGGCTGGGTCCATGAATCCCACGAGCTGGTTTATCATGCGTCTCTGAAGTGGTGGTTATGTCAGACGTGCGGGTCCTTCGCTAGTCAGTGGCTGAGGCCGGCCTGAGCTAAGCGTTGTGGTCAGCCGCTCACCAACACGCGTAGCATCTACATTCAGAGTGTTTGCGATGGGCAGTGGCCCGAGGACCAGGGGAGATCCTCGAACATAGCGAATGCCTCGTAGTTCAGGTAGGATTGTTGTTGTCCTGCCACTCTTCGCATCGCGATGGGGCCGGTTCCGATTCTTATGTCCCTCCTCGACGGTTTTGTTTGGCGTGTCAGAGCGCCCCTCCTCCTCATCGCCCTCATCCTCAGCATCCTCATCCTCATCCGCATCGTCATCGTCGTCGTCCTCCCCCTCCTCCTCCTCCTCCTCATCATCATCATTTGCAGGAGTTTCTGTGGAACTCACGTCATCCTGACTCCCGGTGCGCGAGAAAGCCGCCTCCCAACGCACCCCCAGGGACCATTTCCGCCGATGCGCCAAGCATTCGAGACATCCTCGCAAAATCGCCCCACGGGCCCCAAGCGCAATTCCCAATGGACCAGGTTTGGCGATGCGCCAGGCGCACCGGGCGTGTCCCAATTTGGCCCCCTCGCCCGAGACACCCTCGCACACCATGGGCCCCCAAGGCGCCCCCAGGGACCACTTCCGGCGATGCGCCGGGCGCGCCGGGTGCACCGGACGCGTCCGCATCTGGCGCCTTCGCTCGAGACATCCTCGCGAAATCACCCAACGGGCCCTCGCGGTGCAGGGGCCAATTCTGGCGATTCGCCGGGCGCACGGGGCGCGCCGGGCGAGCGAGGCGTGTCCCCATCCGGCGCCCTCGCTCGAGACATCCGCGAAAAATTGATCCACGGGCGCACGGCGCACCCCCGGGGACCATTTCCGGCGATGCGCCGGGCGCGCCGGGCGCACTTGGCGTGTCCAAATCCGGCGCACTCGTCCGAGACGCCCTCGCAAAGCCGCCCCGTGGGCCCCCGTGGCACCCCCAGGGACCATTTCCGGCGATGCGCCGGGCGCGCCAGGCGCACTGGGAGTGTTCCCAACCGTCGCGCTCGTTCCAGACGTCTTCCCCAAATCGCCCCACGGGCCCCCACCGCACCCCCAGGAACCATTTCCGGCGATGCGCCGAGCGCGCCGGGCGCGCGGGCGTGTCCCCATCGCAAATCCGGTGCGCTCGCTCGATCGGGATATCCTCGCAAAGCCGCCCCACGGGCCCCCGTGGCACCCCCAGGGACCATTTCCGGCGATGCGCCGGGCGCGCAGGGCGCGCCAGGCGAAGACGAGGACGAAAGCGAGGATTAGCACGAGGGCGAGCATGAGGAGGAAAAGGGTGAGCAGGGAGGAAGACGCAGGAGGACGGAGGAGGGAGGAGGGAGGCGGGAGGAGAGAGGCTGAGAAGGAGAGAGCGAGAATGTGCAGGAGGAGGAGGCGCAGGAGGAGGAAGACGAATGACCTCCAGCGACCTCCAGGGATCGAGGATCGAGGATTCGACCTCGGGGGTTTCTTGAAAGGATGTGGAGGAGAAGGTGGAGGATTCGAGCAGGGGAACGGGAGCGTCTGGAGGCGTGAACGTTCAGGGTCATGGGCAGAGGCCGCACAAGCAGGATGGCGGCGTTACAGCCGCAAAGTGTAAGTTCGATTCCGTAGTGGGTTGCGTTTCGCACGGCATTTAGGACGCACTTGCATTCTGCCCGATCCGCACCCTCCTGGTCTTCATGTTCCTCATCCTCGCTCTCCTGATCCTCATCCTTCACATCCTCACCCTCCTGCTCCACGCTCGCCTGAGCCTCGCCCGCGTGACCCTCAGTTTCCAGGTCCTCACCCTCGTGAGCCTCGCACTCCTGATCCTCACCCTCCTGATCCTCACCCGCCGCACCACCGCCGCCCGCTCATTCTCACCATCGTCGTCGAGCGCAGACGCACGCCCCTTCTTCTGTATACAGAAACTCCCGATCAACCGCAGAGCGGCCGGCTAGTTCTCTTCTTCTCTCCTCTGGTTGGGCGTGGGAGGCTGACGATGGATGACATCCTTGTCTACGTCAGTGCGCATGAGATCCCGCTTTTCAGGAGCTCCGCGAAGTGCATCAAGCAGATGGTGGGCGAGGACCGTTCCAGCCTCCAGCTGAGAATTCATCGGCGCTCCCAGATCCAATCCTACCATACAGGATGCAGGAGAGGAGGGGGAGGAATGCGATGAGTCGGAGGAGCAGGCGGAGGAGGAGGAGGAGGTCGCCAACATGCGCCCAAGTCAGGTATGGAAGGATCTGAGGGACAGCGAGCCACTTCCGAATCCGAACAGTTCCTCATCAGAGCGTCTTTGCTATAGGCCCTGTGGCCTGGACTGCCGCGGCCAGAGTGGCGCGATCCCAGGGCAGAAGAAGCCCCCCCCCGCCCCTCTGTACCGATTCGCCGCAGCTCTGGGCATCAAGAGCTCAGGCGCGCTGGGAGCTGGCACCCTGGACGCTGCACTCGACATCGTGGGATTGCGACCTGTGGGGGCCTCCTCACGATGCCCAAAAAAGAGCCTGGTTTCTTATTCAGTGTTCCTGTCGGTAGTAGCAGCTCGACCGCGCGGGCGGCGCCAGGGAAAAACCGGCACCGACCGTCAGGCGGACTGCATTAACGGTTCACAGGCCGTGCGGGCAAAGGACAAAGGCCATAGAGCTGGCGGTTCCTGCAGGTGCCGTATGGTGCCCGCAATGAAGGCGTGGTCCCAACACAGGCGCTTTGGCGTGTGCCGCCGTCACCAGGCTTGGGAGCTTGGAAGAGGTAGGAGGGAGGGAGGCGGCAGAGGGGATGATTATGACGATGATGGTGGTCGTGGTTGTGGTGGTGATGCTGACGACGGCGCGTATGATGACGGCCACTGTGGTGGTGGTGTGGTGTTGTTGGTTGAGGTAATTATGATGGTGGCGACGTGTTAAATGATGGTGGTGATGATGCCGCTGATGATGATGATACTGATGATGGTTCTGCTGATGATGGTGCTGCTGATGATGATGCTGATGATGCTGCTGATGATGCCGATGATGATGGTGATGATCATGATGCTGACGATGCTGATGAAGATGATGATGAACATGATGATGATGCTGATGATCACGGTGATGAGGATGCTGCTGCTGCTGCTGATGATGATGATGATGATGATGGTGACGCTGGTGTTGATGATGATGACGATGATGATGATGATGATGATGATGATGATGATGATCATGATGCTGCTGATTCTGATAATGATGCTCATGATGGTGCTGCTACTGATGATGATGTGGATCATGATGCTGGTGCTGCTGCTGTTGATGATGCTGATGCTGATGCTGATGCTGATGCTGATGATGATGATGATGATGATGATGATAATGATCATGATGATGATGATGATGATGGTGATGATGCCGATGATGGTGACGATGATCATGATTATGATTATGATGACGATGAGGATGATGACGATGAAGAGGAGGAGGAGGCGGAGGAGGAGGCGAATGAGGAGGAGGAGGAGGACGAGGAAGAGGACGATCGACGAGGCTGCCACCAGGCCTTCTCCCTGCTATGTGCTCCCTGTGTCTCTGCTCCCCCCCGCCCCCCGCCCGCTTCCGCTCCTGGCCGCCTTGGCTGCCAACTCAGGGGCTGTTGCTGCTGGTGACGGGTTGAGGGGCCGCGTTTAGGGGGGAATGGGCTCAGTGTGACATGCATTGACCTCCAGTCGCCCCTGTCATCGCCGATAGAGGCCTGATAGTCAACCACGCCCAGAGACGTGCGGCTTCGCCATCGGGGGCTTGTCGCCGATCTATCGGTGATGTACCGCTGCTTCCAAATCAATGGTTCCATCCCTGAGCCAGCCCCCCCCAAACGTTCCCCCTAAAGTGTGTTGCCCGAGGTGACCCTAGCCGAAGGTTCGAGTTTCAAGGATATGTTTTTGATCACTTTGGGCATTTCCTGGGCAGCAGACTCCCGCCCTCTGATGGCTTCCGGGGACCTCCGGAGGGAGACCAGGAAGATCGCTAAGACCCAACGTGTCCCTGGCGTTTCCAGGGAGGCCCAGATGGCCTCCAGAGCACTCGCTGCGAAGCCAAGGGGGGTCCAGGGGCTCCAAGGCGGCGTGAGAAGCTGGGGGCAACCTGGGAGAGGGCCGCTTATGGCAACCTCTCCTTCTGCTGAAGCTCGTAGTCCCATGGGGAGCCTCAGATGCATTCGGGCTTCTTCGGGACGCGTCCAGGAGCAACTGGCGTTCAAGGATCGGACGTGTTTTGTTGTTTCCCAGGCCCTCCGGGTTTCCGGAGGTCTCTGGGGACCTGGGGCATCTGAAGACCTCCGAGGGGGACCCTTACTGTCTCGCTCTGGAGGATCGTTCTGGGCCACAGGACCACAACCGACTCACGATACAACGCCAGTCCTGGGGAGGGCTGTCCAGAGCCTTGCGGTCCCACGTCACGAAGGACATGTTGCGTCGGAGGATGGAGTTCTTCTCCTGCTTCCCTACCTCCTTCCCCTGCTCTTGCTCTTGACACTGCTACTCCTTATGTTTCTTTCGGGCGGATGAATTGAGAGCCCAGACCAGCAGCATACAACCATGTTCCCCAGCCAGGAGCATCGACGGAGGACCGCGGACTTGCAAGAGTCAGATGAGCACGCGAGAGATCGGAAGATGCAGCACGGCCCGCTGGCCAAAGGTGGAGCTGGGTGCTCCAAAGAAGGGGAAGACAAGAACAAGACTCTGGTCGTGTTTGGCTGGCGGAAATGGCGGGCGCCCAGCGGCCATTGAATGACGATGCTTGTGGTGATGGTCATCGCACCGCTGGGCAGGACGTCGATGGTCAGAGGTACTGGACCATGGACGCCCCCAGGGCGGATGATGAGATGATAGGGTAACGCTGTCTTCCTTGCTGTTTTTGCTCTGTGTTGGTGGCCGATCTGGATCTCCTGCGCTCGCGAACGCTGGCTTCCGATCTGGGCCGACACCGGCCTGCCTCGTTCTCCCCTCCTCCCCCTCGCCGTGAATCGCCAACGGGTCCCAGAACCGGGTGCTGTCCCCAGGATCACCTCTTTGTCCCGAGTCGCCCTCGGACAGCCGAGGGGCCCGTGGAGGGCACCTGGGGCCCAGCAGCGCGGAGCAGCTTCCAGGACCGTCCTCGTCCAGGGCCCGGCTCCTGGGTGCCAGTCTCCCCCTCCTCCAGGACCCTCCTCCTCCAGGGCCCTCCTCCTCCAGGACCCGGCTCCTTGATGCCCGTCTTCCTCCTGCTCGCCCTGCCGCCTTTCGCAGTCGCTGGCCAGCTGCCCAGGTCCGGCTCCGCCGCGCCTCCGATCTGTCCAGAGCCCCGAGTAGTAGTAGCAGCGGCACTCGTAAGGGCTCTGCCCTCTGCCGCCGGCCCCCTCTCTATCATAACGGGACGTGTTTCGGCACTGTCTTCAAAACTTCAGGGGACATCATGCGAGGGCAATTGGCATTCAGCCAGCACCTTGAGATGTTGTCGTTGAGGTTAAACGGAGACCCTAGCTTCGGGAGCGCGAACTTTGTTTTATTTGCGAAAGGGTTCTTGATCCCTCTCGCTTCGCGGGGTGCACGTCTGGAGCACGTGCAATCAGGTCGTTGTGGGGCCTCCTGGAAACCTCTTGCGAACCTCTTGGAGGCCTCCTGGGGACCCCTGGGGGCCCTCTTGGTGGCCTTTGTTCGGCTTCGTGGGGCTTCTCGGGGGCCTCTTTTGCTGTCTGGGGGCGCTCTTGCGCCGTCTAGCCTCTCCAGAAGCTGTTTTGGAGGCCTCTCCTGGCTGCTTTGGGGAACTCTTTGGGTGGCCGTCTTGGGGGCCTCTTGGACCGTCTTGGGTTTTTTTAGCCATACAGGGCTCTCCTGGGCAGTCGTGGGGCCCTCTTTGGTGCCTCTGGGGCCTGTTGGGGCCATCTTGGAGGCTGCTTGGGCCGTCGTGGGCCCGGGAGAGTCGAAAGGGGTGGGAATTTTAGAATTCTTTGAAACAGTGCTTTTGGTCTCTGGAGGTGCTCTTGGGAGCCGCGTTGGGGCCCTCTGGGGCCCCTTGGGGCCATCTTGGGCCTTGGGGCCGTCTTGGGCCGTTTTGGGGCCGTCTTGGCCCGGGTCCAAATCATTGATTTTCCAATCACTTTTGTAGGTTATGAGGCGCAGAAGGGTCCTCCATAGTTGGGTCAACGGATGTGGCGCGATTCCAAGGGGGGGGTCGTGGGGAGACGCAATAATATATATATATATATAAAAACACAACGTGTAGCAATTGTACACTCGTCTCCTACTTTGGATACGTTGCATTAAGGCGTTCACCGGAAAACGCTGCCGCTCAACACCAGTGGCTCGGGGGTCCCGCTGGTGTCACTTGATGTCCCGAGGAGTCCCTTGTCCCTTGGTGTCCCGTGGCCGGGTGTCCCGTGGTGTCCCATGGTGTCCCGTGGCGCGGTGCCCCGTGGTTCCCGTGGTGTCCCGTGAGGTCGATTTCGAGGTCGAACATGGATCGATTAAAAACACGTCGACATTGAGATCGTTCGTGGGGTCGATTGTGAGATCGATAGACCTTGAGATCGTTAGCTCGAGGGATGTCGATAGTGAGATCGATAAGTAGATCGAGTGTGATATCGGTAGGTCGATTTCCAAACAGGCGCTCCGTGGTACCCACAAGGTTTTAGCCGACCCGAATCGCACACCGAAACCTAAACTCTCCCCCCTTTCACAACCTTCTGATCAGCCGAAACGTGCTCTTAATTATAGGTGTACATATACATATATACACTAGCACCTCGTAGTTGCGGATAAGAGGGAGTTGGGTGGCGGGTGGGTCGCGGGCGGGTCGCGGGGTGGGTCGCGGGGGGGTCGCGGGGGGGTCGCGGGCGAGGACGACGACAACAACAACAGCAGCAGCACCACCACCACCACCAATAACAACAACACCAACACTTATTTTAAGACTATTCGCTAGTATCCGCTTGCGCGCCATTCAACACCTATATCCCAAACCCTCGAGACCTGCCCTCTTCGTCTTCGATCGTCCCCCCTTGGGGGTATATCCTTCTTACCTGCAGCACGTATTTCATGCAGCCCCTGTGGGGATGAGAAGTGACAATGGGGAGGGAGGAGGATGGAGTACGAGAGAGACAGAGAGAGAGAGAGAGAACAAACAAAGAGAAAGCAGCAGGGGGGGGGGCCTGGAGCAGAACGCGCGGCAGAACCTGACGGGTAGATCGGGTGGGTAGACCCTAGCTGAAGCGTGCGTCTTGTATCAATTGCGAGAAAGTTCTGAGCGACAGCGCGATTGCCAAATCAACCTGGAGGAAATCCACAACGAGAGCGTGATTCATGAGTGTCGAGGACGCAGAGTCTGAATACATTGCGGGGAAGTCCCACGTGAGAGCGCGATGTCTGCATGCATTGTGAGGAAGCCCCGCGCGAGAGCGCGATTTGGGAATACATGGGGGAAACATCAGGCAGAAACTTCTGTTGTTGTAAACTGGGGGGCCAACTGTTTAATTCTGAGGCCCAAGATTTTCCCTGATAAAGCAGGGTGCGAGCCCCTGGAAAGGCACTTCAATTGAAAATACACAGTGCCCCAGAGGGTGGGATCAACAATATTTGCTCTTCAGTAGCGAGAGCTCAGCAACAACAATAACAGCCACAACAATAATCATCTACCCAAATGATTTATCATTCGTTCTGCAGCATGCATCCATCATGCTAGCTCCCCCATCATGGGGGTTTTCTTTCTTGCAGACGGGGGTCCGGTATTCCCTCTCCCTGATCTCCTGCCCGAGGAGGTCGTGACAACACCTCTTCCGAGACACCTCGACGTCTTCAGCCTGGACGGCGCATAGCCTTCGCGATCCCACTGCCCAGGCCTTGCTTGTAGGTATCACGACGCCTGAATGGCCTCAGACCTCTGGGAGAGGCCTCCCAACCTCTGGGAGAGCCCCGTGGAGAGCCCCCATAGCCTCTCAGAGTTTAGGCCCTTAGGCGTTCGACCCATTCCCAGGGGCCGCTTTTGCGTCGACAGCTTTATGATGGCGCCTGGGCTCATCGTCGTCGTCGTCGTCGGGCCCAGAAACGGCCTGGGGGTCTCGACTTGACGAGGATATCTCCGGTGAGGGCGCCCGCTCGGGATTCTGCGCCAGGTTTCGTCAGTTCCGCCGGACACAGAACAGGGAAGCTGGCGAGCCGGGAACAGAATAGGAAACCAGCGTGAAAGCCAAATTGAACAGCCCGGGGCGCTCCCATCAGCAACCGACTGCTCGAGCAGGGGCGCAAACTTTGCGATCCATGCGCTCGCAACCACCAGCCTATCTCGTGGGTTCCCGCCCCGATCGATTGATCGCGCAGGAGGGGGCACAGGTAGAAAGGCCTCGACGCCATTTTGGCCTGCCTGAGGAGGCTTGCGCCGTTGGGTGCGCAAGTCAAAGCGGACGCGCGAGAAATCGATGCCATTTTAGCTGTGGGGTAGTACTGTCGTTCCTTGTCGCGAGGGCGCGCCCGCGCATCCCCCCCCCCCCCCCTTCACGTGCTGCCCCCCCCTCCCGTGTAGTGACCCCGGGCATTGCCCCACGCATTACCCCCGTGTGTTGCCCCAGGTAGCACCCCCAAACATTGCCCCATGTATTGCCCCCGAGACAGTTCGGCCCCCCTCATTCTGACGAGTTGGAGTTTTTCGCGCCTCCCGTATCCCCACCAACCCAAACAGAAACCATGCCCATGAAAGCTGACGGGTAAAGTGAAGAAGAAACACATATTTTGAAACAAAGCATGGCGGGAATATCACCAGAATGCTAGAACATGCAATCACATGGTAGATTCAATTACAAGTTTTCACGCTTCTTTCAGGAATCTGGGAATTGGTGGGATCCCTGGAAATTCTTAGGACTCCTTAGGAGGCCCTCCCAGGAATCGGGGAAGCCGTAGGACCCGTAGGAATTCTTTAATTTCCTTTGGGATCCTTCTCAAGAATTTGGCATTTGGAATGGTTTCTGGGGATTTCTAGGATTCCCTAGGAGGCCATCCCAAGAATCCGGAAATTGGTGGGATCCGTAAGATTTTCTTTGGCTCCCGAAGAGACCCTATTAGGAACCTGGCGAACTCTTCAGACGAATCACATTGGAATCGTGTGTGCGTCGCATCAGAATCATTTACGAATCGCTTTGGACTCGTATACGAATCGGTATCGTGTACGAATCACATAGGAATCGTATACGGATCATGGCCACGTTCGAGCTCAAGTACATGTGTTCAGCTGAGATCATGATCGGCCGTCGGTGATCGGACCGATCGCATTTGTTTTTTCAGATGCCCATTGGGCGGTTTAAGGGAGTTCATTGCACCCACAAGCGCTCTTATGATCTCCCCCTTAATCGAAACTTTCTTGAAACGCACCAAAAACATCGCAACCACTTCGGACCGATCGCAACTGGTTGTGATCAGTCCGAAGTGGTCGACGATTGGTCCGAAACGGTTGCGATCGGTCTCCTTCCCCCCCCGGGATCCCCTTCCCCCCCACTGCAGGACCCTCCCCTGGGCCCCCCCCCCCCCGGGCGGGAAAGGATCAAAGGGAAGGGGTTCCGTTTCAATCTGTTTAAGACATTTTTCGATGTCGTAGGGTTTGGAATGTTGGTCGGGAGCTCCACGTCCCCTCTCGCTCCGGGTGTTGGTCAAGAGCCCCCGGGGAAGAGGAGGATACCGACGACGACGACAGCGACGACGGCGACGACGAACGGAAGAGCGTTTCACACACGCCGACAGGGTCGGCGGATTTTGAATAATGAGCTTTCAACAACAGCAACAACAATAGACTTGGCCCCGGAGTCCCGCTTCAGCCACGCACCCAGGGACAATGAATGAACGTTCGGCCCCACGCTCTAATATGTACATACATATACATCTATCGGAGGTTTCGGGGTGAGTTCGAAGTGAAGCGGAGACCCCACCGGGAAATCGGTTTCGGTTTCGTATTCGTGTCGTGCGTGCGTGCTGGCGAGGCAAAGCTGCGTGCGCGGGCAAAAATAATGAACTCGACGAGGCTAGGGCGAAACTGAGCTCAGTGATTCTACGCCCCCCAGTTGGCCGGCGGTGGCTCGGGGGTGTCCCGCCAGTGTCCCGCGGTGTCCCGCGGTGTCCCGTGGTGTCCCGTGTTGTCCCGTGGCGCGGTGTCCCGTGTTGTTCCGTAGTGTCCCGTGAGGTCGACTATGAGTTCGATCGTGGGGTCGATAATGAGATCGATCGACAAACCGAGTGTGATATCGAAAGGCAAATGGCAAAACAGGTGTTCCGTGGTGCCCAATGTGTTCCCGCCGAATCCGATCCGACCTCACTCGCACACCGAAAGTTGAATTCCCCCCCCCGCAACCTCCTTATCACCCGAAGGGTGGTCGTATAGGTGTGCATAAATGTGCATAAAGGATTCATGCGTTCCATGGCTGCGGCGCGTGGAAGCTACATCGAGCGCATAACCCGGCTCTCCTGATGAAGGGATGAGGGAGGAGGTAGGGGGGACAGCGAAGGGGCGGGAGAGGAGAGGGGGAAGGGAAGGGATTGGGAAGAGGGAAGAGGAGAGGAGAGGACGAGGAGGAGGAGAAGGAGGAGAAGGAGGAAGAAGAGGAGGAAGAGGAGGAAAGGGAGGCAAGAGGTGGAGGGGGACGAGGACACGCCTGGAGGGGGACGAGGGGCAGGATTTCTTGAACATGCGACGCGCCATTTCGCAACGGAGCTGGTCAGGCTGCAGATGTGCCGTTCATCCGGCGACCTTCCTTCGTTGGTTCGGCCCATCGTTCCCCAAGCAACTTCCAGGAATTTGGTCCACTTTCGCATTCCTCTGCACATGCTCGCGCTGGCGCTTGTCATGACGGGTCAAGGTTCGATGGAGATATCGGCAGAAACGCTGCCCAACTTTCTCAAGTGACGAGTCTCTCAATTGGACTTTTGGCCGCGGGGTGCCAAGGTGGGGGACCAACACGAACAGGCTCCAGTCAGTGCTGCGAGGCCTCGTCCTCAAAGACGTTTTCTCCAAAGTCGTCTTCTTGAACCAGGCTCGCCGAAGGGATTGGAAGAACGAGGACAAGGGAAACCGGCGGAATCATAGGCGGGTTGCAGGGGAGGTGGGAGCACATATTGAGAGTGAGCGTAGTAATCAGAGGTGGATGAAGAGAAAGAGAGAGAGAGAGAGAGAGAAAGAGAGAAACGTGTGTCTGCTTGTCTGGAGTCGACTTCTAAACATGGGGAGCGGCGATTGCGTTGCATGGTGAAATGTCGACCTCGGGAAGGCGTCCCCCGATTGTGAAGGCCGTACGGCCGGTGCCGCCGACCCTGGAAACAGACCCCCATGATGAAGGTGACAGCCAGAGGTGTTCGGAAAGGTTGGGACCAGACGCCCCGAAGAGTTCCTGTGACGCCCCATGAGGTTCCCAAGAAGAGTATGACGAGGAGCACAGCTTGGTCAAACTATCTGCACATGTGCTCTCGCAGCCGTTGGGGGAGGAAGACGGGGGGAATCAGGAGAGGGAGGAGGAGGAGGCGGAGGAGGAGGACGACGAGGAAGAGGAGAAGGAGGAGGAGGAGGAGGAGCAGGAGGAGGAGGAGGAGGAGGACGAAGATGAAACCAGGGGAGAGGAGGAGGAGGAGGATAAGGAGGAGGAGACCTCTGGGGAGCCTTTTCGAGGCTCTGGTAGCCTCCTCAGGCTACATGGCGGCCTCTTGTCGCCATCCAGGACCGTCTTGGAGGTATCTTAGGGCTATCTTTGGTCAGATGTGGTAGTTTTCGCCGTCTTTGAGGGCATCTTGGATCGTCTTGGCGGCAATGCCGCGCCATCCTGACCATCTGGGAGGCGAGCGTGGTCGTCTTTCGGGGAATTCAGTGGGGGCTCTCTGGGGGCTTCTTGGAGCTCTCTCCGGGCTTTCTCAGAGTCCAAGAAGGCTTGAAGAGGGGCCCAAAAGAACACCAAGAGGTTCTAAAAGGCTTCTTGGATTATCTAGTGGCCAGCGGCCTTTCCCGCCACCGTGCCTTGGTATGATACTGTTCGGGACTTTCTGGGAACCCTCTTGGAACTCTCTCTGGGCTCTCTTGGAGGCTTCTTGGAGCTCCCTCCGGGCTCTCTGAGAGTCCCAAGAGGCTTGAAGAGGAGCCCCAAAGGCTACAGGGCACCAAGGGGTTCTCAAAGGCTTCGGAGGACCCATGAGGTCTCCCGAAACAGCCCGCAAAAGTGTCATACCAACTGTTTCTGGTATGACACTGATGAAGGCTTGCTTGGAATTCTGTAAGGGCCTGGGGCGGCTCTCTTGGGGCGCTCGGGCGATTTCAGGCCTCTCTTGGATTATCGAAGACGCCTACGGCGAATCACCGCCGCCCCCTGCCTTTTTGGAAGCGCCTGTGTGGCCGAACGTTGAGACCAGACCTGCCAAGCTATCGGACCATGTGTTCCCCGAATCGGTTTGGAAAGCCTTCGGGGAACACGTGGGCATCTCGAAGGTCATCTTGGCCATCTGGAGGCCATTTTGACCCTTTCGGGCCTTCTTGGAGGACGTCTTGGAGGGCTCTTGGGCCGTATCTTGAGTGTCTTGGAGACCTCTTCGGGCCGAGTCTTGGGCCTCTTGGGCGATCTTTGGGGGCACTTGGGCCGTCTCGGGCCGTCGGAAGGCAGAAACAAGTCCTTGCCACAATCCTTCAAACACCAATGGGAAATCAATGATTTGGGCCTTTTCGGGCCTTCCTGGAGGCCCTCTTGGAGGCCTCTTGGGCCGTCTTGGGCCAGCTTCGAGCCACCTTCGACCATCTTGGTGGGTTCTTGGTTCGTCTGACGCCGTCGGAAGCCGTTTGGGGGGTCTCAATGGGCCGACTTGGGGCTCTCCTGGAATGCTCCAGGGCCGTCTTGGAGGCCATCTTGGGCGTCTTAAAGGCCTCCTGTGCCGTCTTGGGGGCCTCTTGGGGCCGTCTTGGGGCCCTCTTGGGCCGTTCTGGGGCCATCTTGGAGGCCTCTTGGGCGATCATTCGGCGATCTTTGGGGGCTCTTGGGCCGTCTCGGGCCGTCGGAAGGCCAAAAAGAAGCACATGCCAGAATCCGTCAAAAACCTCAGGAATAAAACTGTTGTTGGCCTCTTCTGGCCTTCCTGGAGGCCGTCTTGGGGGCCTCTTGGGCCGTTTTGGGCCAGCTTCGAGCCAACTTCGGCCATCTTGGTGGGTTCCTGGCACGTCTGACGTCGTCGGGAGCCGTCTTGGGGGCCTTTCTGGGCCGACTTGGGGCCCTCTTGGGGCGCTTCGGGGCTGTCTTGGAGGCCATCTTGGGCGTCTTGGAGGCCATCTTGGGTGTGTTGGAGGCCTCTTGGGCCGTCTTGGGGCCCTCTTGGGGCCGTCTTGGAGGCCACTTGGGCCGTCATGGGGCCCTCTTGGGGGCCTCTTGGGCGATCTTGGGGGCCTCTTGGGCCGTCTTGAGCCGTCGAATGCCGAGAAGAAGCAAATGCCAGAATCCTTCAAAAACCTAAGGAAAATCACTGATTTTGGCCTCTTCGGGCCCTCCTGGAGGACCTCTTGGAGGCCTCTTGGGTCGTCTTGGGCCGTCTTGGAGGCTTCTTGGGCGACCTTGGAGGTATCTTGGACTCTCTTGGGCCGTCTTGGAGGCCGTCTTGGACCATCTTGGGCGGACTTGGAGGCCATCTTGGACCATCTTGGAGGCCATCTTGGGCCAACGTGGCCATCTTGGACGCCATCTTGAGCTGTCTTGGAGGGTTTTTTGTGCACGTTGGGGTCCTGGGCAATCCTCCCGGGACCCCAGCGGGACGGGTCGAAGCGCCAGGGGGAGTTCTATTGGAAAAAGAGCTAAAAGCAAAACCGAGAGGTCTAGCACGCCAGGCACCCCTGCGATGAATCGACAGGGGGCGGCGGATGACGGAAAGCGCGCGTTAGCGTGCGGTCCGTTAGTCGGAAGAAATTGGACTTGGGGGAGTTCGAGGGGGGTGGCATCGCCAGTCCCGGATGACGGAAAGAGCGAGGTACGAGCGAGTGACGTTGACTAGGGGGCGAAGCCCTAAATGGGGGGGGTCCAGGGGGGGTGCGAGGCGCAGACGCCTGGTCTAATAGCCCGTTTCCCTTGTATTTTTTCGAGTGAAGCGGCTCCCGGGCGGCTCCCATGGCCCGTTTCTTCCCCAGACGGGCCCAAGACGGCCCAGAGGCCCCAAATATCGTCCCAAGAAGGCCCCGGAGGCGCCCCAAACGGGCCCAAAACGGTCGAAGAGGGCCCCCAGACGGGCCCAAGACGGCCTAAGAGGCCCCCAAGATCATCCCAAGACGGCCCCAGAGGCGCCCCAAAGGGGCCCAAAACAGCCCAAGATGGCCCCCAGACGGCCCCAATACGGCCAAGAGGGCCCCGAGGGCCCTAAGTGAGCCCAAGAGGGCCCCAATAGGCTCCCCAGCGCGCCCGAAGAGAAGGAGGGGGAGAAGGAGGAGGAGGAGGAGGAGGAGGAGGAGGAGGAGGAGGAGGAGGAGGAGGAGGAGGAGGAGAACGAGGACGAGGCCAAGAAGGAGGAGGGAGGTAGAGGAGGAGGGGGAGGAAGAGGCGGAGAGGAGGAGGAGGAGGAGGAGGAGGACGAGCCCTAGGAGGAGGAGGAGGAGAGGAGGAGGAGGAGGAGGAGGAGGAAACGAGGAACGAGGCCAAGGGAGAGTAGGAGAAGGGGAGGAGGAGGAGTAGGAGGAGGAGGCGGAGGAGGAGGAGGAGGAGGAGGGAAAATGAGGAGGAGGACGGGAAAGGAGGAGGAGGATGGAGGGGGAAGGAGGAGAATGGGCGGAGAAGGAAGAGGAAGAGGAAGGAGGAGGAGGCGGAGGAGGAGGAGCGGCAGGAGGAGGAGGAGGCGGAGGGCGGAGGGGAGGCGGAGGCGGAGGCGGGAGGCGAGGAGGAGGAGGAGGAGGAGGAGAGGAGGCAGGAGGAGGAGGCGGAGCGGAGGGGAGGCGGAAGAGCGGAGGAGGAAGAGGAGGAGGAGGAGGAGGAGGAGGAGGTAGGAGGAGGAGGAGGAGGAAGAGGAGGAGGAGGAGGCAGGAGGAGGGGAGGAGAGGAGGGAGGAGGAGTGAGGGGAGGAGGGAGGAGGAGGAGGAGGAGGAGGAGGAGGAGGGGGAGGAGGAGGAGGAGGAGGGAGGAGGAGGAGGAGGAGGAGGAGCGAGGGGTGACGTAACAAGCTCTCAACGCCAAGGCTCCCAGTACGAACGGCGGTGTGAGTACCTTCGGTCAATGTGTTTGAGGCGCTCTTTCCGTTTCCGTGTCGGCCCAGGTGACGAAAAGAGCGAGGTACGAGCGAGTGACGTTGAGTAGGGGGCGAAGCCCTTCTTAGGGGGGTCAAGGGGGGGGTGCTAGGCGGGGACGGAATTGTTTAATAGCCCGTTTCCCTCGTATTTTTCCCAACCCTCCTGCGTTGGGTACTCGTTTTGAATAGAGCATTGCGGTCTCCACCTTCCTTCCTTCCCGCCTCCTCCTCCTCTCTTCCCTCTTCCTCTCCTCTCTTGCTTCCCTTCTCCGCATCTCTTCGCTCCTCCTCTTCTCTCTTGCATCCCTTCTCCTCTCTTCGCTCCTCCTCTCTTGCTTCCCTTCTCCTCCTCTCTTCGCTCCTCCTCTTCTCTCTTGCCTTTTACGTCATCCCTTTGGGGCTGCGATCTGTGAAACTGTCGCCACTTTCGAGGGCTGCTGGTGGGTCCAGCGGAGTGAGGCACCACGCAGATTCAGATTAGACCTCGCCATCCCTGTGGGGCTGCGATCTGCGAAACTGTCACCACTTTCGAGGGCTGCTGGTGGGTCCAGCGGAGTGAGGCACCACGCAGATTCAGATTAGACCTCGCCATCCCTGGGGGGCTGCGATCTGCGAAACTGTCGTCACTTTCGAGGGCTGCTGGTGGGTCCAGCGGAGTGAGGCACCACGCAGATTCAGATTAGACTCGACACTTCACGAGGGCTGCTGGTGGGTTCCAGCGGAGTGAGGCAACACGCAGATTCAGAATAAGACCTCGCCATTCCCTGGGGCGTTTGCGATCTGCTAAATTTGTCGTAACGTTACG